CTGTAGCAAAAGAGCGGAAACAGCCTGCTGAGGAAGGAGAGGCAAGTATTCAGGTGGGAATGTGCATGTGCAAGGCACAGGGAACACTGCAAACTCTCTCTTCCCAGAGTCCATGGCCTCTGGTCATGTGAAGAAATGGCACGATTCTTCTAAATCTTCATTTGCCCCAGCTGGGCCTGCACCTGTCTTTGCTGATTCTTTGGAGGGTACTCTTATGGCTGTGGGCTCTGTGGCCACACTGGAGGTCTCTAGTTCTTGGCCTTTCACAGTCTGCACCTGTGTCCTCCATGCATGTTGTAGAACAAAGCTGGTCCCTAGGGACATTGGGAAGTGGGGGAGGTTGGTCTTCAGTGTCTTCCTCCCTTTGTGATGCTTTTTCTGTACTCTCTTCAGATTATTTTATTAATTCCTTCACAAACATATATTCAGCTTTGTCTACATGCAGGTCCTGTTTCTGGTACTGGGGATAGGGTGTTGAATGAGACAGGTGAGATCTGTGCACTCCCAGAGGCTAGTTTAGAGGAAGAGGCAGTGGATAAACTAGTGAGCAAATATACAAACAAGCTCATTTCAGACAGTGGGGAATGCTGTGAAGATACCAAACAGGGCCGTGAGATAGGAAGTCGGTGAGTGGAGATGGGAAGGGCAGGGAAGACTTCTTAGCAAGGTGACATTTAGGTGAATCAGAATGATAAGAAGGAGCCCAGCACTTGAAGTCCTGGGGTAGAACATTCCGGCAGTAGTGGTAATGAGCACCAAGGCCCTATGGAAGAAAGAGCTGGAGAGTTAACACAACAGAAGTGAGAGAGTGGTTGGCTGGAGGTGACAGTGGAGATATAGAAAAGGGCCAGCTCATGTACAGCATTGAAGGACAGCTTCAGGACATTGATTTTAATCTAAAGAAGCTGGGAAGTGATATTAGCTGGCGTTTGCCCCAGGTGCTGCCAACAGCAGGTGCACATGTCAGGGAGCCAGAGGATGCATGGGTCTCTCCTCAGGGGCCTGATGACACATGCCTGGCAGTCATAGGTGCACTGGAAATAGTTAAAGATTTGGGTCTGAATAAACTCATCCAAAGAGTATAAATGGAGATGAGAAAAGACCCCCAGGCTGAGATCTGAGCTGGCCAATACTGAGATGGCCATTAAAGGGGCAGGTACCAATGAAGGGACAGAAGAGGCCTGGGAGGTAGGAGGAAAACCAAGAGGGAAGAACGCATTTCAAGAATGCGGAGCGGTCAACGTTCATCTGTCCTGTCTCCCTGCAAGGAGGACTGCTGGTGAATAAATTCCTTCTGTGATGTAAAGTCTCCTGGAATGAGTGTTTTTGAGAGAAATCAAACCCTTAAGCAAGAGTTCGGTATTATTAACGGAGTATTCCAGGGAGGGTTTTCCTTGCCATGCCTTTGGGTCTTAGTGATGTCAATTTATAACCTTTCTGAGGTTAACCTGTTGGAGGTAGAGCCAGGAGGCTGAAGACTATTGTCAGGGAGGAGATCAAGGAACCGTGTTGTAAGCATTTAAAAATTAAACTCAGCCTGTGATATGGCTGTGTTTCAGGATGGAAGGCAACATCATTCTACAGCACCACACTGCTTCTGCGAGGACACCTGCCATTGTCTCAAGCTACCTGTTAGGTAGGGATCTAACAAGCCAAACATCTGCTCCTCCAACATAACCGCTAACACTACCAACAGGACATTCTGAAAATCGTGTCAAATGTAATTGTAAGTATTTCTACAGGGATCTAAGTGCAGATTTAACTCATTTAACCCCTTAGTGAATGGCAGGACTAAGTCAGGGGATGCTGGACTAGGGACTCTGAGGCCCTTCCAACCTGAGGAGTCTGATCCTAGGACAAATTCTTCATTAAAATTACTGAGTGATAATGGGATAAGCATTCATAAATGCAGCTGAGGCACAGGATTTCCTATTCAGCAGAGGCAGATTTTGCTATATCATCGAAATGGCATGAGCATGGCTGCCAGCCAACGCATGGACAGGCCTCCTTTTTGTGAGCTAATCATCTATGCAGCCTTTCCCTAAAGGTACTCATGAGATGGGGATCAAATCCTTTGGTGTGGCATGCAAGCCCCACCTCAGTCTGGCCCCAACCTGCCTCTGTTGTGTGCTGTTGCTGCAGCCTCCTCCCATCCTCATCCTCATCCTCATATTCACTGCTGGACATGCCTCCCCTCATGCTTTCTGCCTGCCCATCATCCAGCCCCTGGCACAGGACATCCCTGACTGCCTGCCTACTGACCACCTGCCTCCATTTCAACAGGACTTCCAGTTCCTGGCCTCTTCTCCAGCCTCTGCTTTGTTCAGTCTTCCAAGCCCAGCTGGCATAAGATGACTCGTTTCACAAAAAGCTGCTATTGTCCGTCACGTCTCCCTGCAGCCTGAACATACTGTGCTTCTCCCTCCAGTTCCTTAGCCTCTTATGTGGACAGCTCCTCTCTGCTGTTCCAACAAGTCTCCCAAGTTCTTCCCCTTCCGCAAGTTCTTCAGCCCTTGGTAAGCTCATCTTTCCACTTACTCTTTAACTTCCACATGGCCTGTATCCCATGCTGTCTAGTGATAACTTCTATATTTCCTGCTCCTATTGCATGATACCTGCTAGGGATCTAATTGTGTCCCCTTCAATTCGTATGTTGGAGCTCTAGCTCCAAAGTGACTATATTTGGAGACAGGAATTTAGCAGGTAATTAAGCTTAAATATTTGAGATCTTAAGGATGGGGTTTTAACCTGATGGGATTGGTGGCCTTATAAGAGGAAGATCTCTCTGTCTCTCTCTGTTTCTTCCTCTCCCTCTCCCTCTCTCCCGCCTCCCGCACCCCTGAGGAAAGGCCATGTGAGTACACAGTGAGAAGGTGACCATCTGCATGCCAGAAGGAGAGCCCTTACCAGAACCCAGCAACGCGGGCACCCTGATCTCAGACTTCCAACTACCACTGAAAAAGACAGAAAGGAGAGAATATGGTAGAATGTGGCTCTCCCTAGACAATTGTCAGAAAGCTCAGTTGGTTCTCAGTTTTGGGGGATTAAGAACAATTCTGCTGGAGGCAGAGGGTTGAACCAGATAACCTCTCAGGATTCCTTCTCTTCTGATGATGCTGGAAAGACATTTCTCATGGTCTTGAACCACCAGATAAATTGTTGCTATTTAAGCCACCCACTCTATGGTGTTGTGCTATGGCAGCTGGAGCTAAGACAATATCTATTGTCATTTCTCTTATCTGCCCAATAAACTCTGTGCTCCTAGACCAAATCTGTGGGTTTTAAAAAAAATTGTTTAACATGCATACAGAAAGATACTCATATTCTGAGTATATAGCTTGCTGAATGTTTACAAACTGAACACACCTATGTGACCAGTGCCCAGACCAAGGAACAGCACATCATCAGCTCCTTGATGCCCCTGTCATGTCCCCTTTTAACCTCCTCCAGCCACAAGAGCAACTACCACTCTGGCTCCCAAGAATAGATGAGTTTTGCCTAGTTTTGTACTTTATGTAAATGGAATCATAAGGTATGAACTTGTTTGTGTCTGGCTTCTTTTGCCCAGCTTTCCATTTATGAAATTCATCCATATGCTTGTGTGTGGCTATAGGTTATTCATTCTCATAGCTGTACAGTAGTCCACTGTGGAAATATACCACGATCTAGTTATTTACTCTACTGCTGACCTGCATTTGGGTAGTTTACAGTTTTAGCCATTACAAATAGTGTTGCTATAAATATTCTAGCATGGGTCTTTTGGTAAACATTTGTATGTGCTTCTATAGGGCCTATGCCTAGCAGTGGGATTGCCAGGTAACAGGGCATACATATGCTCAGCTTTAGTGGATACTGCTGAACACTTTTTCAAAGCAATCAAACTACTTTTACTAACCATGTGAGAGAAGAGCTATTTCTTTTTCTCTTTTAAGCCTCTGGCATAGGGAGGAGTGAATGTAAGATATTCAAGAAATGTCTGCTGAATGAGTAGAACAAGGATTTTCTTGGCGTTCAGGTATCAGTGGACCCAAGGATCCATGTGTGAATGAAATAGGTGGGGTTAATCTGACCTTAGTGTCCTTGGTAATCAGAATGTTCAGAAATTCTCCGTAGATGTTGAAAAAAAGTTTTTTATTTTGAGTCCTGCTTGTGGAGGTTGTGGCACCATCACTACCTTCCTGGTATCTCAGTGGAAATTCATTTGGAGGAGGCCCTTGGCATTGTCAGCATGCAGAGCCCTGGCTCTTTCATCTCATCAGATATTTCTGCACAAGAAGCCAGAAAGTTGGAAGTTGGAGGCAAACAAGAGTCAATGATGCAGCTTTGGAAGCTGTGGTCAGAGGAAGATGGATCAAGGAGAGCTGTAAAGGACTTCTACTCTGTCAGAGGGCCACTTTGGGAGAAGGGGAGGAATGGCAGACAGGGAGAAGGCCTGTGGCCTCCACCAACTCTTACCACTTGCATACGCTGTATCTTTGATTCGCACCTCGGCAAAGCCCCTGGAATTCAGAAGCCCTGGAATTCAGAGGCGTGATGAGGCCAGTGGGAACTCCTAGTGATTTAAAAAGAAATCAGTTCCATCAAAGAATATTGAAGTTCTTGCAAGGAACCCCAGGGAATTTCTGATTCCATCATTCCTCATAGAAGGAAGCTCCCAGCATCTTCCCACTCTACTTCTCTGGATACTCACCAGGTTCAATGCTCCTTTTAAAATGTGGAGGCCAGAAGAAGGGGCTTGAAGTGCTGATGGGTCTAACACTTTCCTAGATAGGGATGTTAAAATTTTATTAATACATTAAGATTTTAATTTGCTCTTTTTTTAGAAATTATATTACATTGTTAATTCATGTTAAGTTTGTGGTGAGTTGATAAACTCACCCATGCCCACATGTTTTCATTGAAAACCACTGTTCTTCCCTGTTAGCACCTGTGCAATGGTCACTGTTTTGTTTAACTTAATTGCAATACTTTTCATTTCTTTGTTTAATTTCATCTTGCAGATTTTGACCTGGGGCCTTAATCTGACCTTCAAGGTAAGGCAGCAAGTCCTGTTACTTTCTCCTCTTAACTTCTCAAGTCCTCCTACTTCTTGGCAATGCTGTCTTTACCTGCTCCCTCACCTGGAAGACTCTCTTCTCCCTCTCCACAGCCCCATCCCAGCCTTAGCCTAGGTAATTCCTACCTTTCCTTGCTCTGGAAGAACTTCCCCTTCTATATCCCTGCAGCCAAGGACTGTGATCCTTGGGAAGGTAGGTGAGCTGAAATCCAGGATATGTCATCGTAGACTCTTGGTGGACCCCCAGCAGGTGAGGAGAACTTCCTGGCCGTCAGCATAGCTGGGGAGACAAGGTGGCCCCCCTGCTCTCCTTCCCATCCCCAGATGTACCAGTAGAACAGGAAGAAAAGAGTTTGGCACTTGAGGTGCATGCCTAAAGGGCTGCTCATGCGGAGCCTGTGCTTCCTCTGGTGAGACAGTGCTATGGAGAATAAAATGCTGGCTGTCATATTGAAGGGGCTTTGAAGAACAGCACTATGAATATGGAGAAAGCCCTTATACTGCTTACAATCCAGCTGAAGAGATCATCAAAGTAGGGTTTCTCTTGGGAAGTAGTGGGAGTACATAATTCGAAAATACCCTTCCCTCCTTCCCTCCCTCCCTCTCCTCCTCCCTTCCTTCCTTTCCTTCCCCCTCCTCCTCCCTTCCTTCCTTTCCTTCCCCCTCCTCCTCCCTTCCTTCCTTTCCTTCCCCCTCAGCCCCCTCCTCTACTCCCTTCCTTCCTTTCCTTCCCCCTTCCTTTCCCTTCCCCCTTCCTTTCCTTCCTCTCTTTCCTTTCCTTCCCCCTCCTCCTCCCTTCCTTCCTTTCCTTCCCCCTTCCTTTCCTTCCCCCTTCCTTTCCTTCCTCTCTCCTTTCCTTCCTCTCTCCTTTCCTTTCTCTCTCCTTTCCTTCCATATTTATTGAGAACTCAGTAAGAGTCCTGTACTTTGCTAAACCCTAGGAACACAGCAGTGAATGAGACAGTCATGACACAAGCCCTTGTGGGCTGACGGTCTAAAGTGAGAATCAGAAATCAAACAAGTTGCTTGATGAATTATGTAAAGACAGTTGTGATAAGGAACTGAAAGAGATGTACAGGGTGCAATAAGAGCATAGAGCTGGGAGCCTTGACCTAGTCTGGAAATGCTAGGGAAATCTTCTTGGAGAAAGGGATATTGAAGCTGAGTTCTGAAGGATAAGCAGTTCCTGTTGTGCTGTTTTACTACCTGATTTTGATAAGGTAAGCTTTTATTGAAAGGCCAAAAGTAAACATTTGAGAGCCTCTTATCCAGTCCAACACATCCATTCTATAAATTCAAAGGCTGACTTGGGTAAGACAGACATCATTAGTTGATAGGCCTGGGACTGACTCTGGTTTCTGTGTAGTAGCCGTTCCCTAAGTGTTATCTCCAATGCTAGTAATCATACTATTAGTGATAATCTTACTATTATTAAAATGAAAGAGACCAGGCATGGTGGCTCACGCCTGTAATCCCAACACTTTGGGAGGCTGAGGCAGGCAGATCACCTGAGGTCAGGAGTTCGAGACCAGCCTGGCCAACATGGCAAAACCCTATCTCTACTAAAAAAATAAAAATAAAAATAAATTAGCTAGGCTTGGTGGCAGGTGCCTGTAATCCCAGCTACTGAGGCTGAGACAGGAGAATTGCTTGAACCTGGGAGGTGGAGGTTTCAGTGAGCCGAGATTGTGCCACTGCACTTCAACCTGGGTGACAGAGCTAGTCTGTCCTTCCTTCCTTCCTTCCTTCCTTCCTTCCTTCCTTCCTTCCTTCCTTCCTTCCTTCTTTCCTTCCTTCCTTCCTTCTACAAAAAGACCATTTTGTGGAGTAGAAACTGAAGCATAGATATTGTTTGGGACAAGGCTTAGTGGCCTCACTATGGAAGCACACAGGGAGGAATAGTGAGACTGTGGATAGGGAGGGGTGAGGAGGGCGCATGGGGTCTTTGTTGCTCAGGATGTTTTGGCTTTTTGGGCTGTCAAGTGGACGGAGGACTTTGAAACACAATCTCAATGTAATTCAATCCAAGATTCTAAGCCCTTATTTAATAATGGGGAAAAGAATGGGGTTCAAGACTGGGCTAGAAGAGAGTTACAGGGAATGGGTGTCCCCACAGTGTCAGACTAAGAATGAGAGCTTCCCATCAACAGTGGGTGCCTCAGTTTTGGAAGGCTGTAGCCAAGACTGGATGCCTAGCAGTTCCCACTATGAGTGCGATGCTGGGTCAGTTCCCCTCATTGGAAGGCTCTAAGATTCCCTGAGAACCTGATGTTCTAACATGAGTCTTCTAGGAGGTGAGAGTGTGGAATGAGAAATGAATAAACAAGAAATGGAATGAGGAATGGACTTTGAGAGTGGCATGGCTATAAACTAAAGGAGTGAGCTGTTGGGGAAGTGGTTTCCAGGGACAAACAGATTGACCCAGAGAAGAGATATTGGTCTTGGGATTGAAAACAGAAGTGGGAGAACATGGTAGAATATGGCTCTCCCTAGACAATTGTCAGAAAGTTCAGTTGGTTCTCAGTCTTGGGGGATTAGGAGCAATTCTGCCTGAGGCAGGGGGTTGAACCAGATGACCTCTCAGGATTCCTTCTCTCCTCATGATGCTGGGACGACATTTCTCATTGTTTTGACAGTCCTAAAATGTCTTTTCTTAATGGGGAATTTATCTGCTGGATTCAATTTAACTGTTGCATTTGTATTTTGTACATGCACCTGCCCTGGGGCAATGGTTACATTTTAAATAAATCAAATAAATCAATAAATATGATATGCCTCACTTTAATCATTACATAATGCAAAAAATTATGATAATGCCACATTAAGTTGCAAATTAAGACATGCAAAAGTAAGAAAATGTGGAAATGAATGTTCTCCCAGCAACATTAACTCCTCTGCCTTGTGATGTGGCATAATAAAGTCTATATTTATATCTGCCTACCTAGCAGTCTCTCATTCAGCATGGGCCGATGTGGGAGATTATTGCCAATTTAACCTTAACTTTTGTGTCTGATGGCTTGTTGTAAATGTGCTATCTTAAATGAAGCATTAGCCTGGCTCCTGCAAGGAAGACAGAAGCATGCAATGGTGGGTTCCCAGGTTTTGAGCGACATTGCCTGGGCTTGGAACCTCGGTTCTGTCTGAGTGTCTATGGAACCTGCCCATTAGCTCAGTTCTCTGCACCTCCTGTTTTCTCAACTGTCTGCAGCATCTGGATCTTAGATTCCCACCATGCTCCACACCAGCTTCAACCAGGTTACTCCCATTATTGTTTTATTGTAGTTCATTTATTATATCATTTTGAGAAAAAGCATTCTGCTGCTTAAAATAATTATCCAAGCACAGCTCTAGTCCTAATATTTCAGATGAGGAAAATCAAGGAGGTGAAGTAACTGGGCCAAGGTCGCAGCTGGGAACTCTCAGGGAGACCTCCACCTCAGGCTATGACTCCCATGCAGGCCTGTCACTTTCCACTGCTCTTGTTCTTGCCCCCACCTAAAAGCTGCCTTCTGAACAGTGCATGGCTCCTGGTTAGCATCTGCTGCGGAAGGGCAGACTGGCCATGTTCATGCGAGACAGAAAAGGTTCTCTTTTTTTTTTTTTTTTTGAGTCATGAGACGGGGTCTTGCTCTGTCACCCGGGCTGGGGTGTAGTGAGCTGATGTCAGGTCACTGCAAGCTCCGCCTCGCGGGTTTATGCCATTCTCCTGCCTCAGCCTCCCAAGTAGCTGGGACTACGGGCGCCCACCACCTTGCCTGGCTAGTTTTTTGTATTTTTTAGTAGAGACGGGGTTTCACTGTATTAGCCAGGATGGTCTCGATCTCCTGACCTTGTGATCTGCCTGCCTCGGCCTCCCAAAGTGCTGGGATTACGGGCTTGAACCACCGCGCACGGCCAGACAGAAGAGGTTCTCAGAGCAGCAAGGGCTGATAGGAAAATCATAGGTGTTGGAGTTAGGTGGTTGCAGATTGCAGCTCCACTGTCATGTGATCTTGGACCATTTAAAGAAACCTCAGTTTCTTCTGTAAAGTGGTGGAAGAGAGTCCAACCTTTTAGGATTCAATGAAATAATGTGTATTAAATACCCATCAGAGTGCCAGCCTCTTTGTATGCACTAAAGAAATGTAAGCTGAGGTTTTTTTTTTTAATGCTTTCATTTAAAGTATGAGTATCTTTCCCCAATTTCCCTTGAGCCACCTGAAATTCCATCAGTAATGATACATTTAAATAGGTCAATCATCTTTCTCTCCCCATTAAATAACCTTACCACTCTTTTGACTTGCACAGACCTTTAAAAGATGTTGACACTTTAAGCTCTCAACACCTCAAATGGCTCCTCATTGCTTATGGGATTAATTAAAATACTTTACTCTGCAGTATGTCAACATGCCAGATAGACAGGGCAACTCCTTACTCTTCGAACATCTTTTTGGCTTTTGCATCTCTATGCCTTTTCTCTTACTGCTTCCTCCTCCTGGAACACCCTCTCTAGTCTCCCTTCTCTCTTGTACTCCCTTCCACACTGCTGTCTCTCTACTGATCAACATTAAATCTCCCCTTCAGGGCCAAATTCAAATCGCAGATCCTCCTCTATAAATCTGTGCAGATTTCCCCAGACTCACGTGCCATCTTCCAGTTTCCTGTCCCAAGAGCTGTATTGCTGCACAAATGACTATTGCTTTACTTTCCCATATTGATTGGTGTGTCCCTTCCACTAGGTCTATGAGGACAGGGATCAGATCTGAACACACAACTGTTAGAGGATAGGAATCAGATCTTCTCAGCTTTATCACCCTTGCAGTAATGATGAGCACAGAGACTTCCATGCTGGGCAAATACCAAATTGAATCAAAACTTAAATGTTATCAGCTCTATGCTTATTCTCACATGATAGAGGCAGAAGCAGGAGAATTGCACTGGGTCCTAGGGGAAGGGTGTTGGGTGGGAGGATCCGGAGGAGCTATAAAGGCCAAATTT